CAATTACAGTTTGTGTGTTTTTCTTTGTGGTATCCACATTATCACCTAGTTGATTCACTTCATCGTCATAGGTCAAAAAGCTTATGTGTCCCGTTTAATTTCAGTCCCATCTGGTTTCCCTGGACCTTCCTAATGGCATATTCTAAAGCAAAGTTGAAAAGGAGTGGCGATAAAGCATCTCCTTGTTTTAAACCATTCCGGACAGGAAATTTATCAGACAGATGTTTGCCTATATGGACTTTACTGTAAGTTTAATTTAAACACATTTTAATCAACCTAACTAGTTCATGGGTATCCCAAACTCTATCAGAATATTGTGCAATACTTCCCTCCTAACTGAATCATAGGCTTTCTTGAAGTCTATGAATAGCTGATGTACTNCTGAGAGAAGTAGTTCCTCCACCTATTCAAAATGTTGTGGGAATCTTCAAGCAGATCACCATTCTCATCCTTCACTAAGTTACTGCAAGGTTGGTAACCCCTCTTAAAGTCATTTATTCATGTATACAGTTTTCTAATGTTCTTGTTCTTACTGTTCATTGCAAGCTCATCAATTTTGTCTTTCAGATATTCCCTTTTTTGTTCCTGAAATGCCTGCTGGTTTCACGTCTTATATTGTTCAGATTATCCACATTTAACTCACTTGGATCCTGTAACCATTGCAACTTGGCTTGCTTTCTTTAGTCTAATAATTTTGAGCATCCTTCTTCGAACCATGGCTTATGCTTCTTGGGTTCATAATAACCTAGACTCTCTTTGGCAGACATTTTTATATTCTCTCTAATTGTTTCCCAAGCTTTATTAACATCCACCTCAGTGTCAACATTTTCCAAAGCCGCGGACCTATTTGAGATTTCGGTGCAATACTGCTTTTTACCCTCCACCTCATTTAATTTCTTGAGATTGAACCTCTCCATTTGAACTCTGTGTGTTGTTTGTTTGCTCACTGCCAGTCTTTCCCTAACCTTTGCCACCACCAGGGAGCAGTCATTGTCACAATCTGACATCAAGTATACTTGAGTGCCGTCTCCTGTCTATCAAAATATGATCCATTTGATTGTGTATCTTCCCATCAGGAGATGTCCAAATAAATTTATGGATGTTACAGTGTGGGAACATTGTGCTTGTGACAAAAGATTTTCTGATATTGCTACAACTCTAACTCCATTATCGTTTCTAATTCCATGTAAACTCATTCCCAATCGTTGGTTTGAAAATGTCTTCCCTCCCTACTTTGGCATTGAAATCTAACAAAATTTTCATAGGGTACTTCGGGAATTTATAAAATACATGTTCTAGTTCTTCATAGACTCTATCCTTTATGTCATCAATTTTTCTTCTGTTGGGGCGTGAACATTCATAACAATGATATCACACCAGTGACCTTTTAGTATTATATATGATATCCTATCACTAACGAACTCTACCCTCTTAACTGCTGATACTATTCTCTTATGTACGAAAAAGCCTGTACCTAATTCATGATTTTCATTCCCCTTTCCATAGAAAAATGTATAGTCTGCTGGTGCAATGCCACCTCCATCCCATCTGACCTCCTGTACGCCCGCTAAATCTAACTTATATTTTAAGATTTCTTCTGCCACTGCCCTGAGCGAACCTGCCCTATACAAACTTCTGACGTTCCTCGTTCCGAATCTCATGTCCGTTTTCTTTAGCTTAGGTCGTTTGTCCAAGGAATCCGTCCAGGTTCGAGGCTTTGTGTTCATTTAATATTTCTTTTAGGGTGAGGAGTTGTTAGTCCCACGCCGAACCGCCAAGCTGGAGGACCACCCCTTGTCTGCTGTCCGCGACTGCTTATTAAATATATACGCAGCTTCCCTCCATAACTGGAGGGCGTCTCACCCATCCGCAACCTAAGGACGCGCCATGCCGTGGTGACAAGAGAAACACCTAACATGGAATGTTTAAATACTTTATTTAACTAAAATCTTTTGTTTTGGATTAGATTTATCTTCTCCCTTCAAAATGGCACTATATCCCCTTAGTGATCTGCAAAAAGCTTTTTTAGAAGAATGGTCACTCAACTTGTGTATCTCTTTCAGGAGATCGTAATGCCATAAACAAACTTCATAAAACCTCTACTGTTTCTGTTTTCCTAGATTTATGCACGCTTTCTTATTTTTTATCCACTCGGGTAGTTCTACGTAAGAAATTGCTCCTAAAAATGTACGCTTGTTACCGGTAATTGTAACAACATTTACTCTTTGAAATACCAAGCCATATCTTTTTTCTTGCAGTTCATCACATCTTGCTTAATCAAATCCTTTTGGTTTGTCAAAAATTCTTCCAAGTCATCTAGTTCTTTCAAGACTGTTTCTCAAATGAAAGTTATGAGTCATTCCTCGGCCTAAATTTCTGAAAGCACAGTCCAATGCTAAATTACTCTTCATGTTTCTACATATATATACTTAATGCTTTTCCAATTAAGATTTTTGCTCTTTCTTATACTGCTTACATACAGTTTTCTCTGTCTAAATATTCGTCATTGTTATTAATAAAATAATGATATTGTGGTGTGTACATCCGTTGCTAGGCAACGACCGCGAAATAAGCACTATGCAACAGCTGTTGCAAAATCATTGTCATGTGACAATATGTTAAACTTCTTTTTAAGCAGTCCCTATTAAAAGAATCACGTTCTCTGTTACCTCTAGCTTTATATATACTTTTATTTAAAATATTCTCAGTTTCTTTACTTGTTACCTGTATATCTTCCCTTCCCTTTTAAGGAATGACCTTTACGTCATCTTAAATGGAAATATCTCACCTAAATTATTATTTTCCTTATCAGGAGGTGATTGCTTTCTCTTTCTATAATATTTCGTGTTAAATCTTACGTACACGTATTTCCTGCGACAGTAGCAAATTCTGGCAGTTTCAAATGCTTTAATTGCACTTGCCGATTGTTATTGAAAAAAACCTTAAATTTATGTAGGATCTGAGATTCTCACAGCGATGGTTATGATATAATGCCCTGTAATCCGACGTTTCGGAGGAACAATGTCGAAGAATACACAAAGCAATAAACCGGCATTGAGCATGTAGGAAGGACCAAGTAGCTGAGCAGCTCTTAGGTTCTCTAGGACTCTGCTCCGTGGAGTCGGTAAGTTAGTGTGCGACAGTTACTGACTGAGATAGCAGAATGCGGGGGAATCCATTGGTCCTGAATTCTGTCAAGGAACGCTTATAGGACGGCAATAGAAAGCAACCGGCGATGAAGCCCCCAGCCTGGTACAGTGTCCACTCATCCGGATGGCCTCTAAACTTGCAGCCGACGTAAAAACGAGAGAATAACAAGTTCCTCTCTTTGTTAAGGGAGACAGTACAGAACAGTCATTAAGAAAGATAAATGCAAATTGGAGAGTGCTGAACAGCCGCAGGGAAACAGATGTACCGATACAAGGAAAGCGTGAAAGGTACAGTGGTCCCCCTGCTTCACTAAACACTACGCCGCGGCGTTTGCGGCAATAGAGGGAAGGCTCCACGCACACTTAACCTCAGTTCATGTTGAAGATGTGTGGTCAATTTCAAGCCCCGGACTATAAACCGACGGCGTAAGAGAAATGCGCATAGAGGAGGGCTGGGTGAATCCTATAAACGTTATGAAAGCTCTGGGGAAGAGAAACGCTTCTTGTCCCTTATTGGAATCGAACCCCGGATCCTTGCTTGTCAACCCATACAGGGTGAGCGCTACTGGCTTCATATGGAAACAATCAGTTTGTAATGTGAACAGAGTTCTGAATATTACAAACAAAAGTGGAGATTAGCTTGAGGGGATGACAGATGAATGATCGCCAGAAAAAGGTGATACAGTATATATATACCGGGAAAACGGAACCTGGGGAGACCGAGAATGCGACGGAGAGAACATTGAAACATGTAAATTTGAAGAAGAGCATTTAATCACACGCAAATAAACGAATGATTCTTGGCTTCTATAAAGATGCTTTATCAACTGAAAACGTCACGGAACAATGAATTCCCAAACGTGCATCCATGGTCATCACCCATTCTAAGGCACTGCCCGATGACCTAACTTTGGGTACTGAGTGAGGCCCCCTAAAACATTGTTTCGGCAGTCGAACGAACTGGTCGCGGATCTCGCTTCTCCTTGCGTACTTAAACGTGTGGTGCTTAGCCATTGTTTGGTGACTATTTGAACCAGTTTGGATTGAGCTGGTATCTGTAATATAGCGCACTTATATATACACATATGGGGGAGACACGTTTACATCGAGCAGGCTAGCGTAGCGGTAACGCTGTACACTCGTGTTCTGGAGGTGCTCCGTTTGATTCTAGTCCGGGGCATTGCCTATACTGACTCAGTCCACTATCGCTCCCTTCCAGATCCTTTCCAATTCATTATTATTCTATTCTACACTCTACGCAATGTAGTCTAGCTGCTAACAGTGTCTTAAAGTGATCCACGAAGATGTTGATATGTAGAAGCCATTAGTGAATATGAAGAACCTCGTCTTCTGGGGGGTGACGCCGTGTAGATATTGTGTAAATCGATGTTTCGGAGGAACATTTCGCCTCCATCTTCGGGGTATGAAAGTCCGCGATCATGAAACCAGCGTGAGCAGGTGGCTGCAGACTGCACAGTGCAATAATTAAAAACTTCAGGTTCTAACTCTTCGCGACGCGATACCTCAAACTTTGTGTTGACTAATTTGTCCTGATATTCACTTCCATTCAGATGAACGACCCACAGTAACTAGTAGTGGTTGATCTAGCCAAAAAATCCCCCAAACTTTATGGACCCAGAAAGTTCAATACCGTATTCACAAGAGCCCAACAAATGACACTTAACGAGAGCCAGATGAACACATCTTGCCATCCAGTTTGAGATACGTTTTAATATTATCCTCACATCCAGACCTCAAACTTTAAAGTTGTCGATTTTCTTCAGGTTTTTGGAAAGTTTTTAACGAAGAATTTGCTATAAAGAAACTGACAGTTGGTCATCTGTTTCTTACCTTCTCCAGTGATGCTGCCGCAGGAAGCGAATAACACGAACACCAATGTGGGACACACCGCGAACAATTTAGGCACAAACACCATCGCCACAAACTGTCTGCACCATTTATAACACCACTGTGCTTCCCACTCGTCACTCTGCCATCTATCCGCCTTTACCACAGAAACCTCCCAACACGTTCTTCTGAGTAACACTGATGCTAAGACGGACAAGAGGTGAAAACCGGACCACAAGAGCTGGTCACGTGACCTCTACGTCAGGCAATTCTTCTTGTAACGGTATCAGGTTACCCTTGTCTCAAGGATATGTTCTGTAATCTGCGAGCTGCAGCTCTGGGCAGCTACAAAACGGAACTGCACATGAACCCTCAGGTTTTTACTGGAGACGTCGGTCGGTTTTCTGGCTTCAGACATCGGTGTGGCCGACAGGGGACAGGAAACAGCTGCAGGAACAAGCCAAGGTGCCTGTTGGCCGAGTCGCCCAACGCATCGCTCTATTCTCTGGTTTTTGTATACCGTTTTGTCCGGATAGCTCAGTTGGTATAGCGAAGGACCATGGGCTGGACGGCCGGGGTAAGAAATTTTTCTTACTCCTCAACTTCCATACGGACTCTAAAGCCTACCCAGCCTTCTGTCCAATGGGTACCGGAGACTCTTATCTCGCGTTTAAAGCGGCCGGTGTGTGAAATTGACCACTCACCTCCATCTAGTTCCGATGTAAGGAAAGGTGGAGCTGTACCTCCATTTTCCCATACGTCTTTATGACATGATAGACAACCTTACTTTTCTTATGTGTGATATTATCGAATAATATTGGTGAAAAATACTAAAGTCATCTGATTTTTCAGTCCTCCGAAACAGTAACGACTGTATGCCGAAAGTGTTTATTTAGATGTGTAAAGGTAATGAAAGTTTAAGTTATTTTTTTGCATTGAAGAGAAACGACCAGAAAGCGTGCATCTGTAGCAAGTGGAATGGTTCAGCTCTTTGAAGCATGAATTATTTCTAAACAGTTCCTTGCGGTTCAATTCATGTTAGTCACCCTGGAACAAGATAATATTCATATGAGCTACACGCTCGAGAAATTTCAGCTGAAGGTGATAAAATTCTCCTTTCCTCTCACTGTCGGTCGGTTAAATTGCTGCTAGCCATCGCAAGCAGTCAATCCTGACTTCAGCCTCCTTGAGGTGCATACCAAGATTTTCATTCTCTCCTAGACATGTACGTGTTTCGAAATGGGCCTTACTCTTCAACGCGGGAGGGGCCTGTCTTTCTATTTAGGCGCTACATTTGTTACGCCGTAGTTTCAGCACGAGTCACAGCGTCCAGGTCACTATGGCCTCTGTGCACCCTTTGTCACTTCACTGTACTGAGTAACATTTATATAGAGGTTTCCTGTCAATGAAAGCCTTTGCAGCAGGTTATACCTCAACTTATGTAACTAATCTGAAACTGCAGTTAGATTAAAGGCCGTAGGCCCGACCGCAGCCAAGTTCATCTAAATAATATACAGGAATCTAGTCCGTACCTCACAGGAAACACATTACCTCTCCACTACAAAGCCCAACCGGTTAATGCTGCTTAGGGAAACAGTCGCTGTTTATTGTGAGAACCACACGGAACACACAGATACACTCTGTGGACAGAATGCAGAGTTTTAGTATGAAAAACCAAATGGTACATATAGTTACTGCTGTTCTTTGAAAGTCAAGGAGAAGTTATTTTCGCATTGTTTCATATGTTTGACCGATATACGTAATTCTTTCTGGAAAGTGACTGTGGTTACGAACTGTATAGAGGGATGTCCAGAATCGAGAGGAAAGAAAGGAGTTGGAAGGAATTTGAAAAATACTGGAGACTAAAATATTAGGAAGGATGAGAGATAAATTAGATGTTCATTGGGTTTCTGTAAATCATAAACTTTATGATAAGTAAGATATGTAGCATGCAGACAAATCTGCGGTTACAAAACCTCATCAGGAGGTAACAGCTGGGAGACGTAAATTTGGAGGCTGAATTGAATCTTAGAAGAATGAGATGAAATTTTCTCCTGGAGGTGGGTATGAAGAATGCGGTTTTCTGGAATAGGACGAGACGTAATTTGATATATAGATAGGCACCAGAAATTCGGAGGAACTTGCCGCCTCTGTCTTCAGGCAGAAGATCTGAATTGAATATGGAGGCAGCACGTTCCTCAGAAACGGTGGGACGTATTTACCAGACTGTGCGGAGTTGCTTTGCTGAAAATCGCTTAATGCGGCGTCATTGTAAATTGTGCGAGAAGATCCCAACACGTATGCGCCCCACACTATAGTCACTTCTACCACGAGAAAATCATGTCAAAACGTAGAGGTTACAAAGTTTTAAAGAGATTTATCACAAAATATTTCTTTTTCATTTTTGTACAATTCTAACTAACAATTATAACTTTGTCCTTTAATTTTTAAATTTTATTATCTAAGTATTTAAATTTTAACTAAAAGATTCAATTTATGCATTAAAATAACTCTCAGGAGCACAATAAGATTTCTTATTGAAGAATTAGGCTCAAATAAATGCAATTCAACAATTGAGTCTGGTTTCATTGTACGCCTGATGAAGACCCAATATAAGGGTCGAAACACGTTGAGTCAATAAAAACAAATGTTGATACGATAGTTCCTACTTTGTTTTAAATACAGAATATTGTTGTGTTGACTGCGTACTTTTATATATTATTTACCCAAAATTGTGTAAACGAGGAATAGTGTAATAATCAATTTAGTTACGACCTGTAGGTAGTTAATAAATCCAGTTACCAATCCGAACCCCTTCTTTAGTCACTGATACAAGTGACACTATTTTAGAACAGTGTGTGTCAATTTTCAGACACCCTATACAATACAGCAGCTCTAAAGTGGGTCACCGAATGGAATTGACGGAAGGGGATTTTAATCGTGGACAGAGTTAGCGGATACAATACAGGTAGGCCCTAACTGGATGACCCTCAGCTTCCTCTGCAGAGGCAAGTGCTGAATACAACGGCACAGTCGCACTAAGTTCGAAATATACGCACAGCAGAACAGTTCTGGCGCACTCGCTTACTCACCTTCAATTATTCCGAAAACTGCAAGACTTACGGAAAAATTATGCCGAATATAGAATATATTGTTTGTTATCTCTACAAGTTTTGCTCGAAATGCTCTTCTGGCCGGTAACTATCAGCGATTCGCACTCGAAATGCACACAGAAATGTATGTAGGCTGTCATGTAACTCATCTTTGATTTTATCCGATTTTAACGCAGACTGGACTGTATCCGCAAATTTTAGTGAAACTCTTCTGTATAAAATTTAATGAAATCTATTCAAGGGTTCTCCACTTACATCTGGACACACAGTAGATGGACAGACATACACGGCGAAACTAAAGACGCATGTTTACAGCGCCTCCTTGCAAAGGTGTCGAAACCAGGACACTCAGCACAACCAGCTCACTGTTCAGACTTCTTTATATTTGTGGTATGACAGGTACATATTGGTCCACTTAAAATCGTTCCGAAATACAAATCATTGCATTTTATGAAAGGAGGTGTTGTTCTGGGGCCGATCACAGGAGCCGCGCGGTCTAAGGCATGAAATGTCTTCGCCGCTCACTCGGACGCTGGGATCGTGGGTTCGAATCCCACTCAAGGTACGGATGTTTGATGTGTGAACGCGTGTATTCTGTATTTGTGTTGTCCTGTGTTTAGCTAGCGGCCTTGCGGCTGGCTGATCACTCTCCCGAGGTGTCCTACCGTCTGTGAAAAATGATTCAAGAACTGAATAAGAGGGCAGGGCCCTGAATGGGCTGGAAGAGGCATTGAAAAATTTCACATCGCGAGAGGACGACGAGGGAACTGCAATGAGATGTTCACAGAAATCCGATCTTGAAATTCTTTCTACCTGCTGTATGAGTAAGTATGCAAGAACCGTGTTTTGGGTGGTCATTTGACGATGCTATCGTAGATTATGGTTTTGAATGTTAGGATTATTGATGAATGATGGATTTGGAAAGGATCTGGAAGGAGGTGGTCTTGGTCTATAGGAGGTACTATCCTTTTATTTACCTCGAAGAGCTGAGGAAAACCACGAATGAATGTCAGTGTCCCTGACCGAGTGTCTCCCAAGTACCGCTGCGCTAACCAACTTGGCAAATGAAGAAAATGTGCAAATTTGAAATCTTTATCTCGAAACTTTAAACTTCCGTTTTCAGAGAGATAGAAATATAACTTAATAATTTGAAGCTTGTTAAGGAACGATGTAGCAAACAGAAATCTCCAGCAGATGAAGATGATCTCGTGTTTTGCATCGCGATTGCATTATTAAAATGTCATATCTAAATGTCAGTTGACCGTAAGAGATAAACCGCTAAATGAGAACCTTTCTAAGGGCATTCATCTCTCCACAGTAGCAACACGAGTCGCGCTTGTTCTGCCATGTCACGGTGTAACACAAAATCTGCCGTTGCGCTGTGCTCTTTCAAAAATCAATTAAAAAACATTGATTTCTTTCTGGGCAAACGTGAATATAATACGTGGAATAGGCACATAAGCCCCTTCATATCCATCCTTAACGTTTCAAAGCAAAGTGGTACCACCTGGTTGAAAATGATGAAACTCTGCATTCGGCTCACAGTGTGTTTATGTATTCCACATCATTCTCACTTGGACTTAAATTTGAGGAAGAAACTAGCGAAATGCTACAGTTGGAGCATAGCTCTGTATGGGGCTGAAACATGGACACTTAGGGCAGTAGATCAGAAACATCTGGAAAGTTTCGAAATGTGGTGTTGGAGAAGGATGGAGAAGATCAGTTGGACCGATTATGTGAGAAATGAAGAAGTGTTAATTAGAGTCAGTGAGCATAGGAATATCCTACACGAAATAAGAAAACGGAAGGCTAATTGGATTGGTCATGTTTTACGCAGAAACTGCCTTCTAAAAGAAGTTATTGAAGGAAAGATAGAGGGGCGGATAGAAGTGACAAGAAGACGAGGAAGAAGACGTAAGAAGATGCTGAATGACCTTGGGGACAGAAGAGGATACTGTCATTTGAAGGAGAAAGCTCTAGATCGCATTAAGTGGAGGAATTGTTTTGGAAGAGACTGTGGGCCTGTCGTCTGACAGATTACTGATGATGATGATGATGATGATGATGATGATGATCATTCTCACATTAGACAGCGATAACATTTATGGCTTTGTCGTTGTTATGGAGACGCAGTGTGTCCTGTGAGGTTCGAACCGAATGT